AGCTCTTATCACTTGTTTGGAAAAACAAATGAGACAAACAATGAATCATGGAACACTATATCAAAAACTAATGATGTATGGTGATTAACATAATAAAATGAAAAAAAAAGACAAACAAATGAGTGATGAGAAAATGTGCACAAAATGCAATAGATTCAACACCTTTCATTTAGTTTCCAATTGGCTTTTTTTTTTGGTTGAAACTATATGATGAGTCACCTCTGGATATGTGGTCACAGCTTTGAACTTAATCCCACTTCAGAAAGAGATTAAAGGGAATGGCTGTTGTAACATATCTGGAAACCTTCCTTTTTTTTTTTTTTTTTTTTAATCTGTAGACAGGTAGTGTTTGAGTAACAGTGGGCCCCAACCACAGCATCCAGTGATCATCTATGAAAAGTAGATTTAGAAGTATTCTTAAAGATTGCTGGACTAATATGACATTTTGAAAGATAAAAATAAGGAAAGATACTGATTATTTTTTAAAAAGATTTATTTGTTTGAGAGAGAGAGAGCGAGCGAGCAGGGGAAGGAGCAGACGGAGAGAATATCCAAGCAGACTCCCGCTGAGCACGGAGCCCGACGTGGGGCTTGCTCTCAAAGGCCAGGAGATCAGGACCTGAGCCAAATCCAAAAGTCAGATGCTTAAACCAATCGAGCCACCCAGACGCCCCAGTCAGTGATTATTAATAGCAGGATAATAATACTAGTGGAATGGTTTTGCAGGAAGGTGGTGGCAAATTGAATTTCTTTTGTATATCATTATTTCTAAGGATGGTCCAAATTCTGGTATTGTATGAGGTAGTATGGATGGTTTCCCTAGAGGCTGGAGAATAATTCATGGTTAAAATGTCACTTCTAATTTAGTGTCTACGTTTTACCATATGCTTTATTAACCTTCAGCCAAGCAATAGGATACTCATCAACACCTAAGGCATTTAATACATATGATTTCCAGAGAAACAGTAACCCAAAACTCAACCATCCTCCCTCTAGCTCAACTGATACATTCCCTAATCCCTCCAACATCAAGGGTATTGGTGTTGGCATGGCTGAGAGTGTCACACAATTTCAGCCTACGACACAATAATTATCCTGGGTTTTTTTGTGGGGGGGCAGTTTTTGCCAACTCAATTCAGCCAAAGAACAATAGGACACTGCTGGAGATGGAGGGCATGTAAATGTTTAAGTGACTTTTTGGTATGTTTTCAGGGTGAGTAAAGATAAAAAATAAACGGAAAAGAGTAAAGGACAGAGACTCCAAATTTGGATGAGCCACTGACTGCTGCCAGTGGAAACTGAAATGAGAGCCAACTCCGTTAGTGTCTTACAAGCTTAGACATGGGATGTCTACCCAAGCCACTGTCAGTTGAATATGTCTGAGCATAGCTCAGTTCCCAAAACGTGAATCTAGGTCAGTGAAATCCCGCAACATACTTTTGCCCACCGATTTTCTATGGTTTATTCCTGTGTAGATGGGGAGGACTGAGTTCATGGTGACAGGGAGAGTTGGAACGCTTTTCCAAAAATTCCACAAAGTCACCCCATCTGGTAGTCACTTCTGAAATCATTTTGTTCCTCACTGTCCCCTAGGACCTAGTACAAGGCCTGGTACAGCACAGGAGTTCTATAAATATCTGTCAAAGTGCTGATCTGCTCCTTTTTTCTCCTGTGCCCCTTAAATCCCTCAGTCACAGTGTTCTGTTACTTCTCTAAATGGAACTCAGCTTCTGCATGGCCCTTTCTATTTTCACAGCTACTTCTCTAGTCCAAACTCTCCTCTTCTTTATTTCTGGACTATGTGATGGCACCTAATTTTATTACTCCTAATCTTTATGCCTGTTAAATCATTACAGGCAGGGCGCCTGGGTAGCTTAGTTGTTAAGCATCTGCCTTCGGCTCAGGTCATGGTCCCCGGGTACTGGGATCAAGCCCCATATCAGGCTCCCTGCTCAGCAGGAAGCCTGCTTCTCCCTCTCCCTCTCCCCCTGCTTGTGCTCCCTCTCTTGCTGTGTCTCTCTCTGTCAAATTAATAAATAAAATCTTTGAAAAAAAAATCATTACAGGCACACTGCCAGATAGATTTTTTTTTCTAAAATACCACCTTCAGCTTTTACACCTCTGCTAAAAAATTTTGAGTGCCTCCCCACAGCCTGCAGACAAGAAAACCCTCATTTATTGGCCTTTGGATCAGGCCCAACTTATATCTGGAAACTGAACTTTTTTCCCCCTGCTCCCAGCCCTTGCTCCAGCCATTGTCTGTTGATTATAAAATAGATATTCCCCCCAGCTATCCTGTTTGTAATCACCACTCCTCCTCTATGACAGGCTTGCTGTTCATTCTGGTCCACTTGGACTTTGACTCCCACCTCCTGTGATCACACCTTCCTTAGAACTCCTATCCCTTCCAGGAGAACCCCACACCTACTAGTCATTTATCTTGTGTTATAATGTGACAGTATTTATCTTTTAATGTCCTGTCCTGTTTCTTCAATTAAGCCAGAGGGGCCTCATCTCAGTGTCCCCTGTGCTTGGGACAGAATCTTTGTCTGTTGCTGCTCGGTAAGAGTATTGCTGGATGGTGCTCAGGAAGCTCAAGCTTCAAGCTCATCTGTGACTCTTTTCAATTGCCCGCTGCTTTATTTTTTTTCTACTGCCTTTTAAAAAGTCTTTCTGCAAAAGAACAGTAATGAGAGGTTTTAGAAGCTTCACCCCCCCTCTTTTTTTAGAGGAAAGAGAGAGAGAGAGAGAGAGAGAGCAAGCATGTGGGGAGGGGGAGGGGCAGAGGAAGATGGAGGGAATGAGAATCTTAAGCTGGGCAAGGAGCCAGAGGCAGGTCTCAATCTCAAGACCCTGAGATTATGACCTGAGCTGAAATCAAGAGCCAGATGCTTAACTGGCTGAGCCACCCAGGTGCCCCGAAGCATCACCTTTTTTTCCTATTAGATTTTTATGTATAAATTAGAAAATGATATTGTTTGTTAGATATCCAATTTGATAGTTATATTCAACTGGTGCCTCCTCAAGGAAAAATGGAATTAGGTTGGAGTCTTCTGTGGTTTTCTATCCTCAAACAGGCATGAAGATATTCAGCTAAGCACAAGTCTCCCATCACCTACAGCCATTGAAAGAACAATGTCACAGTGGTCAAGAGTCTATGGTTAACCCACTTTGGAACTATCCCTATGGCTGGTGCTCTAAAATTAAGTGGTTGCTACTTTTTGCCAGGTGTTTGCACATCCACATGTTCAAGACACAGTCCTTCACCTTAACTGCCCATCCTGAAGCTTCTGATAGGAAGGAATGAAGCTCTCATTCCCTAGGGAGGCTGATTCAACTGCTTGTTCAGGATGAGACTGAGTATAGGAGGGAGGGGTCACACAGGAAGAAATGGTGGCAGAGCCAGAAGGACAACCCATGAACTGGGATTCTAAGTTACCTGCTTAGCCCTTGTTGCCATTTTGGCTCTTTAGACAACTATGCTTCTTTACTAATCAACATGATTATTTTTAAAGGTAAGTTCTTCTTTAATATCAGTAATGGTGTGAAGTTTAACCTTTTTGTCTCTTTGGCACAAATCTTCACACCTGGAAATCAGGTCCTGTTAGATTTTTCTGTGTGTGTGTGTGTGTGTGTGTGTGTTGGGGGAGGGGGTATGGAAACATGAGTCAAAGGCAAATATCCTGTCCTCAGAAAATGATAACAGCAATTTTTTGGTGATTTGGAGTATTTTAATAAGGAATTTTAGCATACCAAATGGAGTAGATGATGGCATTCAAGTTATTATCCAGTTAGGTATTATATTTTAAGTTATACAATGTTGAAATCTAGGCAGCAAAAAGGTAAGGAGCTTCTAGCTTTTGATAGCTTTAATCATGACACTTTCTCTACTTTTACTGCAACTTGGAATACATACTTTTGTACCTATGATGCATAGTGGTTGGCTTCTTCAGGTGTGTATTATTCAGGATTCTAAGTAGGTGCTTTTAGAAGTTGCAGAAATCCTTGAAGGCAGTGGCTCTCAATTAATCTGTGTTCCAAAATCACCTGTGGAACTTTTCAAAAATGCAGATGTGATCCAGACCCAGAACATTAGGATTTTCTGAGGCAGGTCCAGGGCAGTGTGTCTTCAGAAAGTTCCTCAGGTCATTTTAAGCCACACCTCTCATTAAAAACCACTAATTTAAGGTCACTTAGGCTTTTTCTCTTTTAAGTAAAAGTCTTGGACTCAAAGGCTACCCAACTGAGGCTTAAATTCCCCCTATAACATCCCACAAAGTCTGCTGAATATTTATCAATGTCCCATCATATAATGAACAGAATAAGCAGCACTTTAAATGTAATTTCTTCCTCTTTTTTCTCTCTGAAATTATTCTTGAAAGCTCAAGAGAATAAAAGCCCTATTATTATTCCCTTTCTCCTACTTGGCCAATTTTGCCTTCTTCCTGCCTTGGAACTGGTGCTGAAATTCAGCATGGCTGTTTTGGTCCCACAGCTTCAGATTATTTATGGCCCTACCGTGCCAAGTATTTTATTTTGGCCACCCCAGCCTTGTTGGCATGCTCTGGGAATATCGTCAGATAAGACAACTGTAGCCAGGAAAAGAAGCATCAACAGTTGTTACAAACTCAGAGGCTATTTGGTTTTCTGTTAATTTCTTAATTCAGGCATGGTATATTTAAAAAAAAATTATTGTTTTGTGGATCTGGTGAATACAACTGGAACAGACAACCAAATAATAAGACTAAATTAAACCCACAATAGGATTGTCAGCATGCGTTTCACAGTAAAGACCCAAAGTGGGAAATCTTGTGGCTACACACTGTAATTCCCTGTGACAACAACAACTTGAAATGCAGAGTCTTTATTTTTCCATTTCAACCACTCCGTTGACACTAGTTAGCTCTCATTCTGTCTTTTGGTTTTTGCTATTTGTTGTTCCAGTTGTCATCAAAGGAAATTCCAGGCAATAAAAAAACATACAAAATCCAAACACATTAAGGGTTTTTCCATCTTCTTTCTTTATATGACCATCTATAAAATAACATGGACATTTTTGGACATAAAATCAATGCTGAAGCTGAGTCAAAAATGAGAGGAAATACTGTCTGAGTGACCTCTATTATATGGTTAGTCATTCAAGAGAAAAAACACACTTCATGCTATGAAATTTAAATTAGGTGCAAAGCAGCCCATGTGCTCATTCAAGGAATCTTAAAAATGCAGCTAGTTATTTCAGGAAGTAGATAAGAAACCCAAAGACATTTCCATCAAGATACATTATGAGCGTCATAATTTAAAATTACAAGTCTACTGGAATTCCACTTACTAGATTTCAGCTCCATTTACATGACAAAGACAAAAAAGGAGTGGTGATCTCATAATTCTTTTCTTACACATCCTTTCAGTACTTCTATCGAAAGCATTTTAAAATAATAATTCATCGTGATACAAAAGAATAGAATTATTAATCTAAAAAAAGCCCAATAAACAAAATTGCAGATGCCAAAAGAGGAAAAGAACTAGTTTCTGCAAGGGGTTAGGAAGGTGAGGGTGCTCTCCTTGCTGTCTAGCCGGCAGATGGCACAGCCCCCCAGCTTGTCAGCACCGCGGCCCCTCCAGCTTGGAGCTGCCTCCTCTGATTAGTTTGGGGAAAGTTTTAGCTAAATGTCACTTCCCCACCTCTTCCCACCTTCTCTGCCTCTCTCTCTTTGTCCACCTTCCTTCCTTTCTTTTTTTCCCCCCGTAAATGACTGGAAGTCTGAATGCTACCAAGGAGATTGAGTTAAAAATCAATACAGTGAGTCCCTCCAGAGGGCAGGAATTATAGTTTGTCCTCTTATGACAGAGAGCATGTAATTAATCCAGGTTCCTGGAAAGGAAGTCGATTTTGGAATGGATCTAGGAAAAAATGGATAGGGTGTGGTGCAAATCTACTCTTTGCCGTGACTTTGCCTCCCCAACTTTACTGAGGTATAACTGACAATTAAAACTTGTATATATTTAAGGTATAAGGGCTAGGGGGAGGGAAAATGGGGAGATGTTGCTCAAGGGGTACAAAGTTTGTCTTTTTTTTCCTTAGTTAATAAAATAAAAACCAGCCTAGTCTGCAGTAAAGACAGGGATCATGTAGAAGGTAAAGCAGGGGTTTGAGAGTTAGACCCTGTTATTGGAAAATTATTTATGTAAGTTAATCCCAGCCCACTTCCAATAATACATTATATACATATTTTTGTAAACTTTAAGAATTAAACATACAAAGCAGCCCCCTGGACCATGACTCCCTCACTCCTTAAAGTACCACTATTCTGACTGCTGATAGCATAGTTTTGTCTCCTGTTTAAATGAATGAAATAATAGAATATGTATTTCTTTATTTTTTACTTTTTAAGTTTTTTTAAAAAGATTTTATTTATTTATTTGAGAGAGAGAGAAATTGAGAGACAGAGCAGGAGTGGAGGGGGCGGGGCAGAGGGAGAGGGAGAAGCAGACTTCCCACTGAGCAGGGAGCCCGCTGAGATGAGGGGGTGGGGAGGGATCCCACTTCCCTGAGATCGTGACCTGAGCTGAAGGCAGGTGACCTGAGCTGAAGGCAGATGCTTAACCGACTGAACCACCCAGGTGCCCAAGAATATGTATTTCTTTGTGATTGACTTCTTTTGCTCAAATTATGTTTGTGACCAGCAGTTGCAGATGTGTAGCAACTGGAGTTATCATCTTTGAGAAGGCAAACATTCCTTCTGCAAGAGTACTAGTAGGTCCAGTGCCTGTGTAAGAATTAATTAATCCTACACTATTTTCTTTAATAGCCAGAAGGGCAGGATGAAGGTATGCTTAGAGGCATGTGCAGAATGATGGAAAATGTGGGGGGAAAACTATAGAATGGACAGATTGCTCTGAAGATGGATTTTGCTTAGATAATAGTATTTCTAGGATAAGACTTGATGTTAAATGTCTTTAGGTATTTGTTCAAATCAACCTAACCTCCAGTACCTTGACCATATCAACAGTGAAATGCAGTAATAATATGTCCTCTTTTCTTCCTTCCCTTCATTAAATATACTCTGTATTAAATGTGCCCTGTATTAAGTGTGTTCTGGGCTTTTCAGCAGAGAGTCGCTAAAGTCTTCCTAGATTGATGATTTCATTTAAATATACAATGCACACACTACTAAATCTACTACAACCTAGACAGGTATGATGACTATCTCCATAAGATCCCACTTCATTAACCAAGAATCGATTGCAACCCATTACAAAGTGTTTCAAATGCAGTAAGACTATCCAGAAACCCTTGGGCTCTCAGCTTTGCATGAATATATAAGAAGTAGTTTTCTGGCTCTGAAGGAGGCAAGTATCCAGCAAGTAGTGACAGATGTGGGAAGTATTCAAGCTCTCAGTGTGTGGCACGAAGGCACAATTCACCTCCATTTAAATGCTATGCCCTTCAAAAAGATGCCCAAGTGGCCGCGGGCTTCTCTACAGAGACACCAAGATTTGCAAGGGAAAAACAGGCATCTGGGATAAACTCACATCTTTCCTCACAGGTCAGATCCTGGACACCATAGCAAAAAATGGGAAGAGGTGGTGGATAGTTGGAGAGAGGGGAGGAGAAAGAGGAAGCTCAGATGAAACAAATCTATAGCAAAATAACTGGGAAAATCTTTCAAACTGAAAAAGAATGAGTATGGAGTGAGGCGGGCAATTGGGGAGAGGAAAATTAAGGACCAGGACATCTGATTCCAGAAGATCGTATTCAAAATGTTTTGTTTCATCAGATCTCAGTATTTTCATCGATAAAATGGAAAAAATAAAACCGATATATGTTCACTATGTGCAAGTGATCTGTCTCTATCCATTTGTCTTCCTGCCTACCTATATCAATTTTATTATCTCCAAATTAGTATTAGGACTTACCACACTACCAATTTTAATGACTTTTCTAATACAAGAGCCAAAACTGTTCTCAAATACATAAACAGTTCAGCTCACTAAATGTGAATTTCAGCAAACCACCTAGTTCTGACCTGAGAACATGACTGCATGGAGTTCTCATTATTCTTCCATTCAGTTTATTCCTCGGCTTTCACTACAAAGAGAAGTTTTTGATGCTAGAAACATGGTAGGTGGGCATTTGCCAACTCTACGGGCCCATAGTTTAGGAAGGACATTTGCTGATGGAAAATATGATCTCCAAAGAGTGAATACTGTTCCAGTAAGTGAAGATTATTTATAGCTTCTGACACAGAAGGTTTCAAGTATAGAGTGAACATCATTAATTACACTAACTCAAATAAACTCTACAGGAAAGAGGACTATAAAGTCCACACAGGATGCCCTTAAATGATGTGATCTTAGAGGACTAGACTTGATGATGAGATGGGAAATGAATGGAGAAATGGTAGTGAGTCCAAGGCATACAATGGGACTTGGGGCTTGGCTTTTTTTCCCTAGGTTATCAGTGGTCCTCTTTTCTGATTGCAGCATCTTCCCCCTTCTTTCTTTCTTTCTTTCTTTTTTCAAAAGGAATGGTGGTCCAACATCTCTAAAGCAATACAGACCTCTCTGTTCAGAAGCCCAGACTCCTGCTTCATGGAGATAAACTCATCTTCTTCCTCACTTTTAAGTTGCTATCTCTTCAGACTTCACCTGCTCCATCCCTCTAACCAGTCATATCTCTAGGAGCCCATAGGAAAACTCCTTATTGGTTGGACTAGTTTGCTCAAATCTCATGTATTATCTGGTTCAGTCTTTGTCTATACTGTGTTCCCACCTGGAACACGGTCTCACTGAATCCCGCCTTGCCAAACCCTTTAAGACCCATGTCTAGCCCCATTTTTGTCCATGAGGTTCTCTCTGAATATCTAGCCCTCAAGGAGCTCCATCTTATCCTGTGAATAGCAGTCAGGGCTACTTCACATAATGTTTTGCTAGTTAACCATATTGTATTATCTCTTAGTTTGTTACATGTTCGTTTCTCCAGACTATTTAAGTTAGGGACCTATATGAATTAGGGACCAAGCTCTTTGAGTTAGGGATCTAGTCTCCCCAGAATGGCAGATGGAGCTACTTTTTGTAAATCGTCTACCCAGAGGATGTTCCATCTGCTAATTAACACAAGAGCACAGTATAGGCCAGCTTCAGCCCTCTCCTTCCCTTAAACTCAATTTCAGACATGTGCTGACCAACTCAGCTAACACGGATAGATACCACAGTTAGTCCCCGAGGAGAAAAATAATCCTTCTAGATCCTTTGAGTGATACCATCCATCAAATGTTTTCTTTCAAGACACCACCTTTCCTATATGTGGAAAGCAACACAGCCTTCCCGATGAAGCAGAACAAAAGACATTCTCTAAAGGAAACATAGAAAAAACCACCAATTTCAAATTCTGAGGCAGCCTGTTCAGCAACAATTGTTAAAAATCCTAGAAATACAATCAAAGATACAGTAGGAGGAAAGGAAGATGGAAAGGCCAGGAGAGCTGGGTGAAGAAGTTGCAGGCAGGGTGGGGGAACTCAGCAATTGGCAGGCAATGATTTCTTCTGAGACAAAATGCACCAAGTCTAGCACTGAGGTAGACGAGTAAAGACCTAAAAGGGCAAAAAAATTAATTGTGCACCCCGGAACACACAGATTTCCTCTTTTTGCCTGAGAGGAGCTTCTGTCTTTGGTCACAATGGTGTTGATCTGAGAAGGCTTGAGCACCAGCCTGTTCTCATCCTGCCACTCCTGCTTGCTGCCCACCCAGTAGACAGAATTAGAAAAACCATGTGGCAGGCATTGCCTGCTGCATTTCAAAGGAGCATAGTTTTGTATCTACCTTTAGGGCCTTCTGTGCAGATTCGCTGGATCCAATTGCGATTAGATTAGGTCCAGCCATGCTGCAGAAACTCTTCAAATGCAAAGCATCAACCACCGGGACTGTGGAGACCGCATAGTCCTATGTGTATAATAGAAACAAGCAGTTTGGCATTGCAGAATAATTCTAAAACTGATTTAAACCTGCCTGAAACATGGCTAGTTCTAGGTCCTGAATATCTGGAAGAAAAACTGCGACCTGTAGGTTTTGGTATTGCCAGTTAAATAAAGACTACTTTTTTTTTTTTTTTTTTTTTAAGAGAGAGTGAGCACTGCATAGGGTGGAGAGGGAGGGGTAGAGGGAGAGAATCTTAAGCAGGCTCCCTGCCCAGCTCCATCTCAGGACCTTGAGATCATGACCTGAGCCAAAATCAAGAGTTGGACACTTAACTGACTGAGCTACCCAGGCACCCCAATAAAGACTACTTTTAAGAAGAAAGTGCAGAGCCTCCTTCCAGATGTGTGATTGTGTCAATGGCTAGCTTTGCTGGTTGATCCATGGAGTAGGCTACTCTGGAAGGCCATGTCTGAATATCCTGTACAAAATAGAGCCTCATGTCCTCAAGGGGAAAAGAGCTTCCTAAGCAGTCTGGTGAGCCAATCTATTAATAATCAGTGGCGTAAAGGGACCTTGAGAGGATGTATGTGCAATATCTAGCCCAGTTTCCAGCACATAGTAGGTACTAAGTACAAGTGATCCTTGATTCCATTGTGAAAAATCCATGTTTCATGTTTGAGTCAGTTGGGTCTCCAGATTTTTTTGAAAGTCATTTATTTTGCAGGAAATCTGCCAGGTGGCTATATGATTATACACTGGGAGAACAAAGAAGATGTCTATAACCTTGTCTTTTGCGGCTATGGTCGCCCAATGCAGCCTATTTATTGAGAAATTTGAATATGATAGCTCTTAAAACTTCTAGCAAATGTACAAATATTAGGAATTATTTTGCAGAGCTGGTGACATATAGATACCATTATTCATGACATGCTGATTTAATGTGTTTATGAATATTTATTAATTACTGCATGCCAGACATCAATGATCTAACTTTACCTACCTTAAAAGTATCAGCCAAGATTTCAGCACCTCGTTGATTTGTCCTTTTGGAAAGGCCCACAAAAAATTCTCTGCCTATAATAAATGTCATGGAACACAGTGAGTACAAGGGACCAGGGACGGCACGCTGTTTCTTTATATTATATACTGACCTTGAAGCACCACACAGTTCTTTCCTACCACACAAGGCAGCTCTGCTTGTACTCTGACCTCTGCTCTCTTTACACAGATCTGATTTCAAGCTATTGTCCTTAGAAATAAACTTGTTCAAATACACAGAGGCAGAAAGTAGAATAGTGGCTACCAGGGTCTGAGGGGAGGAGGAACTGGGAAGTCAGTGTAGTGGGTATGAAGTTTCAGCATTCGAAGGTGAAAACATGCTGGACATGGATGGTGGTGATGGTTGCACACTGAACTACACACTTAAAAATAGTTAAATGGTAAGTTTTATGTTATATAGATTTTAGCACAATAAAAGAAAAAACGTTCCACTTAGGAAATAACAGAATTAAACACCTTCTTGTGTAATAAAAAATTAATAGCAATGACAATTCTTCCTTTTTTTCCCTAAAAGAATGATACTAGACATTCATGATAAAGTCAGATTCCTTTACTTATAACGACAATGTAAAGGCTGAAGAAACTATCTGCATAAAGGGAGTTAAGGGCTGATTGGTCTTCAGGCCTGACCTCTAAAGAGATATCCTTAAAACTCTTATTTGTTGTTTCAAGTCAAAACATCAGAGATGCCTATTTGCAAAGTACTAAAGTTTGGGAGGATGGAAATTTCTAGTCATTTGGCTTTTCTGAAATTCCATAAATTTTCTTCTCAGAAGGCAAAACACCAAATAAAAATGGTCCCCCAGTGAGAGGCAAACAATTATAGTAGATAGTATTAAGCAATATATAATTTTGAAGATTCTTAACTTCCCTTAATTCTTTGAGAAGAATTCTACATGAAATGTGAAAAAATATTCAAAGAGAAATCAGTATATTTGATCCAGAACATTAGGATAAAGTATAAGAAGAAAAACCAGGTACAAAGAATTGCTTGATAGACTTTACAAATGTTACAAACTTAATCCTCATAATGTCCTTAAAAAAGAGGTAAATGACCTAGGTCAAATGATGTTATGATAAGTTCCAGCGGCGTATGCTCTTCCAGGCAGAGGACTCTTTGGTGGCACACTGACAGGTTTTTTTATTTTTGTTTTTATTTTTGTTTGGTAATGGTATGTCTCTGTTGTCACTTGAGAAAACTCACTACATACAAATCAAAACTTAACTAAGAGAAAGATCTTTTATTTGGCAAAATTATTACTCACTTTATTAAAAAAGCTGAAATTAAAAAAATTCCTTAATTCTTCTAAGATAAAAATAGATTTATAAATTAGATTTATACATAATTTTTAGGAAAAATATTTAATGGATTAAGCAAATTTAAACAAATTTATAATGGGGTATGCACACTATTTCTATTTTAAAAGACTAAGGTAGTAAAGCACAAAGAAAAGCAAACTGCTTATCTCTTTAAAAAGTCAGCTGGACTTCTGTTTCTGGCAGTATGGGGGACTAGATCCCCTAAATGTTCTTTTTTTTTTTTTTTTTTAAGATTTTACTTATTTATTTGACGGAGAGAGAGAGTGAGAGAGAGAGAGCACAAGCAGGGGGAGAGGGAAAGGGAGAAGCAGGCTCCCTGCTGAGGGAGCCCAATGCAGGGCTCAATCGTAAGGTCCTGGGATCATGACCTGAGCCGAAGGCAGACGCTTAACCGACTGAGCCACCCAGGCGCCCTGAAATTCCTAAATGGTCTTTCTGATGAAAATAACTGAACTTCTGGAACTGAAATATTAAAAAACATGTTTGTTGTTGTTGTTATGTCTCTTATGTCATCTTTTTCTGTTATCAATCTACCCTTTCATCTCATTCATTTATAGGAGAAGCCAGGTCATTTATCCTATTGATGATCCTACGTTCTGGATTTGACTGGTTGTTTCCCTGTGTATTATCTAACATGAAATTGTTCCTTTACCCTCTGTATTTTCAGTAAACTGACAGTTTCATGTAGATATTTAACTAGATTCTTGTTAAAAAAATTTTTTTTTGATAGGACTACTTCAGAGGTGGGGCCATAGTACTGTATCACATCACGAGGCACATGACTGAGAGCCACATTGTCAGTGATATACTAGAATATCTGTGCGTTCAAGTGGTATCAGCCTGATCCCTCCATTATAAAGTTCCCCATCAAGATTTCATATAAACGTTTTAACAGCCTTGGATGATCATTACACAGATCCATTATTTTATTAGAAATCTAAATTTATTGGCTAGAATTCTTTAAAAAAAAAAAAAAACTTTCTCAATCAAGTATTTGGTCTACTTGAAATAGAATTCATAAAGGAAAGATAGCTAAATGCCCGAATCCTTCCTTCACTTATTAACTATCAGAGTAGTAAGATGGTGTCCCCAGCAACTTACAATAATGACCGATATGTTTTTTAAATATTATTATCCATGAATGAGTCAAAGAATAAATCATAATGGAAATCAGAAAACATTTAAACTAATGATAACAAATATATATCAAAACACAAAGGATTCAGCTAAAGCAGTACTTGAAGGGAAAGTTATATAGCTTTAACTGCTTGCCTTAAGATGAGAAAAGGTTCAACATTAAATAGACAAAGTTCCAACCTGAAATGTAAGAAAAAAGAACAGAATAAAAACAAAGAAATTTGAGGGAAAGAATTAAAGATAGAAACAGGAAAAGGAAAGGAAATATACAAGAGAAAGAGAATTCAACAAAGCCCAAAACTGGTTCTTTGAAAAGATGAATAAAATTGACAGATCTCTGGCACAAAAGAAAAAAGAGAAGGCACAAATAAACATTACGAATGAAAAGGGGACGTAGCTATAATGCTATGAAGCTTAAAACAGATATTAAGAAGATATGAAGTAGTTTATACCCAACATTTCGAAAACTTAGATAAAATATTAGAAAACAGAACTCACAAAAACTGACTCAGAAAACACTCAATAGTCATGCAACCATTAAAGGAATTGAATCAGTTTAAAATCTCCCCACAGAGAAAGTACCTGGCCCACAGAGCCTGTTTTTAGGTAAGTTCTACCAAAGTTCAAGGAATGCACAATTCAAATAGTACTGATTCTAGAGAACAGAAACATAGGAAATATTCCCTAATACATGTTATGAGGTTAACATAATTCTTTTTATCAAAGCCAGAGAAGGAAAGCAAGCAAGAAAAATCACTGGCCACAAAAACAAAAGTCTTAAGAAAAAAATTAACAAACTAAATCTAGCACTGTAGTAAAAAGAAAGTATATCAAAATGAAGTTTGACTTCATCCCAGGGATGCAAGACTGATCAAATATCAGAAAGATCAATTAGTGCAATTAACCACATCAATAGATTCAAGAAGAAAATCATATACATTTCACTGGAGCAAAAAGAGTTTATCACCTGAAACTCCATTTCTAGCTGTTTACTTTAGAGAAACTCTTATACACATTCCCAGGAGACACAAGAATGTCCACAGCAGCACTGAAGATAATTGAAAAAAAAACTGGAAAACACTCAAATATCCAACAGCAGTAGAATGAATAAATGCACTGTGGTAGTTCTTAACCATGGAATACCACACAGTAGTGAAGACAAAAAAACTATAGCTACACTTATCAAGTTAGATCAAAAGCAGACAAATCACAGAATAGTTCATATAGTATGATCCTAATCATATAAAGTTATAAGACAAGCAAAACTAAACAATTTTTTTTTAAGGAATTTATAGTTTAGGAATACATAGATTGAGATAAAACTCAAAGAAAGACAAGGCAGTGATTAATACAAAATGCAGGACAGTGGTTACCTCAGGCTGAGAGGAGAGAGAGGTTGGGAGTAGGGCTCCTATGGTCCTGGCAATATTCTGTTTCTTAAAGCCAGGTGGAGGCACCAGGTGCCCATTTTATCCTTGGTCTTTAAACTGTACATAGACATTGATAATTCTTTTTTTATTTGTTCCATATTTCACAAAAATAAAAAAAAATGAAAGTAGAGGTATGCTGATGCCTATTTGGATTGAAATAATTTCTGCCAGGAGCTGCTTGCCTGACTCACAAGATTCCCAGGGGAACTGGAGTTGGATAGCTGCTTTCCTGCCCATTTCCCGATCAACTGCTAATGAAGCAGCTGAAAAGCACTACAAAAGCTGTGGAAAGTGCTACAGATTTTGTTTCTTCCCCAACTCTGCTGAATCAAAAAATTGAGTGGTGTTGGTGGCACAATACGGTGAATGTGGTTAGTGCCACTTGAACTGTATACTTGAAAATGGTTAAGATGGCAAATTTCATGTTATATGTATTTTACCAGAATTAAAAAAAAAAAAAATTGAGAAGTAGTAAATAGAAGGCAGGACCAGGCATCAGGCATGGATGAGGTGCCAAGCAGATATCCCAACACAATCTCAGTTTTGAATAAAATAACTTTCAAGATATTAACTTAAGGATGGAATATTACCAAAATAAGCTTGCCGATAGTGTCAACGGCAAGCCTCGGTACTTAGGTACCTAATAAGGACTTGGGGCAAGAACATCAGGATTGAAATGCTATGCAAAGATCTCTGACCAAAGGAAGAGGTTCCTATAGTTTCTATAGCGAAAGCTGCGCCGTAACATGAGAAGATTTTAGGGAATCTGTTCAGCTCAGCTGTTAAGATAGCTAAAGGGCTGTGAACACAGCTTGTTTTAAACCATACTTCAGGGGCGCCTGGGTGGCTCAGTCATTAAGTGTCTGCCTCTGGCTTGGGCCATGATCCCAGGGTCCTGGGATCGAGCCCCGCATCAGGGAGTCTGCTTCTCCCTCTCCCACTCCCCCTGCTTGTGTTCCCTCTCTCACTGTGTCTGTCAAATAAATAAATAAAATCTTAAAAAAAAAAAATAAACCATACTTCAAATATTACCAGTACCTGCTTACAAGAAGTGATTTATTATATAGCTATGTTCGGTAAAAAAGAGTTTTATTGTAAGGAAGCATGATCTACACATCTAGCTTTTCACAAAAGCCTATTTTCTAACAGAAACAGGCTGTTCTGTGCTGCCCAAGGAATGAAGTGCCATCATTGGGAGACACAGAGAATATTCTAGGGGGAACTTACTAGGCAGATTCGAAAGAATGCCTGAGTCTGCGTGGACACGGCCAGAGCTGAGAATGCAGCGTAGGCCTCCTTGACCCCTTGTTCTGTGTTCTTAGGGCTCAATGGGTGTGCACCCCGTAGCCCAGGTTGTGCAGTGCACAACCCCAGGGGGTATTATTCATGCGCTTGTAATAAGAATGGCGTTGCCTAGAGCTCAGCAACACAGTGGCCCCACCCATAGATATGCGACACTGAGCCAGGAACTACTCAAATGTCACAGGATAAACACCTTTCCTCCTCCAAGAACATTAATGATAGCAAAATGTAAGTAATACAAAGCATTATGTTTATATTAAAATGAAGATGGCTATATTTTCTCTATATACAAGGGATTCAATCTAAAATTCACATCAGCTAAAATATTAGACTTCTAAGAAGCTTCATGTTTTCAGGGGGCCATGTGGGCTACATTCCCAAATCCCTGGTAACCAGCCCTTGCTGGTAGGGCTACATCTATGAAACAGGTATTTTTTCTCTGACATTCAGGGGAAAATAAACTCTCACTATAAATTAAAAATTGTTACCGATTTTCTTGCTTATCAGTATAACTAGAATGAATCTGGGGATCCAAATTTTGGCACATGACTTTTGCAAAACAATAATCCGATCATAAAGAGCTGGAAAGGTTAAATGCTACAATTACTGTTTCTTTAGCAGCAATATTATGCCCACTATAAAAACTGATTCTAGGTAGATCCATAATACCAGCTTTTTGTATTTGGTTGAGTTCTGATGTTATTCATCTGGCATTGAAGCCAAATCAATTTGCATTGAAAATTATTTAAACTCATCTTGCTGTCTGGGCAAGAAAATTATTTGTAAATGACACCTCTTGAATTAAGAGTCTTTTAAACACAAACCAGATCCAATAACATACAATGCAAAACTAGACAACCCACAAGCTCACATTGTAGAATACAGTAGATGCAACCTACAAAATGATAGGTACACGCTGATAACATTTTTGTAAAAAATACACAAATATGGCATGCATACAAAAGTACTAAAAGGACATATACCCAAATGTTGAAATGATTATCTTTGAATGAAAGGTCATTTTCATTTTATTCTCTTTTGTGCTTTCCAGTATTTTCCAAATTCCCTGCAGTTAGCATTTTTACTTTGGTAATTAAAAAAAAAAACAAAAACAAAACCTTACAGTTAAGTGAATACAAGCCAGGTATTAGAAATAGTTTTGGATAGGAGAAAGTGAGGATGAAGATACCTGTGAATAAGACGTCTCCACCATCTAAAGTTGCGTTTTCATCTTTCATCTCTACTAGATTGAGCTGAAGTTTTTCTAATGCTTCTTTCATCATGTCAGCCTGGTGAAAATAAAATTATTCAGATTGACACCCCACCATTTTCTAACAACAAAACTAATCATCTAAAACTTCTGAACACTGATTCATGCTCTTACATACACTAGTGCACACACACACACACACACACACACACACCCTTGTGACTATATGAATATACGTAGTGTAATTTGGACTTGCAATGACCATTTGTAAGAGAATAAATTTTCTATTAGAAATTGTCCATTATGTCTCTGTCTAGTCTATGCTAAAGTCAATATTATAGTCCCTTTTTCTGTTGGAGTCTGACTGGTTAGGACACTGTTGGAAGACGGGCTAGTTAGGGCATATGGGTCAAGAAAGGTGGAAGGCAGAACAAATCTTCCTATTCTTGCCAGAAAGTACAAGATTTAATTTTAAACCTTAAGTCAGTCATAATTGCATACATTGAGTAATATATGGAAGAAATATCAATGACAATAACCAGTTACTTGAAATCTCAGCCCACAGGACATTGTTTTCTGTTCAAATATTTTCTAAGATGTCAGAACATCTAAGGCTTCTCTGTAAGTCTGAACTGCTAATTAAATTTAACCTAGTCCCCTAGGGGTGATTAACAAATACAATAATTGCAATCACACCAAAGAATACTTGAAAAATGAATTTCAGGGCCTTTCTAGGATTGCAGGGTATAGTCTAAAGCACAGAGATATTCTGGGCTGAATTAGGGAATACTTCCAGTGAGGTTTATTTTTAATGCAAGAAAAAGATTTAAGGCATAACAAATGCCCTTTGAAATTCAGAGTTTAATTCAAATCCTTCCAGCAGCTCAACAATTTAAATATTTGTGAAGGTCTGTAAACCTCTGACATGGTGAAGACATACATTGAGCAAACATGAATAGGGGCGAAAGGAAAAACAAGAGATCGCATGATACTGAGAAAAGGAGGTAGTTCTGCTAAACTACAGCATGCCCAGGACACATACAGAATTGTCAATGAAGAATTTAGGAGACACAACTACAGCAGAGTAACTTCTAAAGTAATAAAAATATGGAAATATTCTGACAACAAGCCCGACATTCATGCAGTCAAGAAAAAAAAGAGGATACAAATTAAAATAAATATATCATCTCATCCTTGTCCTGGAACATGTAAAAATTCCACAAACCAGAGTGACTCAGAACAATAAAAAATTATTTCCATGGACAAAATGGTCTTCATGTTGTAATAAATATATCTAGTGTTCTCTTTTAACAGCAGAATAGGTTTTTCTATGTAAGAGGAAGGAGAATCATTACTGTAGCATAAAAAAAGAAACAAAATACCATTCACCATGGCTTGTTGGGCTACAGTGAACCCAAGAAAACACAACTGTTTCCTTCTGGCATCTGCCTCTGGGTCTATGGAAAATTCTCTGAGCTTGGAGAGAGATCTTTAGAATGCAGCTACTGTACCTTTTGTCTCTCTTATGATGCTACTGCTTCTACAGTAACTTAACATTTCAAAGATTACCAGGAATACAGCAATAACATGTATTTTGGTCTGAAAAATGTATATTTAACTTTGTTTAATTCTTAAGAGTTTCAAGAGGAACTTTATTCGATTCTCAGGAGTTCAAAGAGAACAGAAGTAGGGAGGCTAATATATACCAGTTTCAGAAACACTGTATTTCTTTAAAAGTCCTGTGTCTTTCAAATTAAAGTTTTAGAGGATAAAATGCTTGTGGCTTCTTAAAAGTTAAAACAGCTGCATCAATACGAAAAAACTGGCTTTTGCGCAAGGCCCGTTAATTATTTTTCTCCTTAAATATTCAGTCACATCTATATAAACAAAGTCATCAGGATAGGTCCATAACACAAACATTGATGATACCATATTACTTTCAGAGTTAAGGGTATGGACACGTTTAAAAATTTGTTAAATGTCAAGTAAATAGTTCTCAGAATTGTAGAACCATATGGCATCAAATCGGCAATGTTAACTCCAGGGAAATTTCTGGAGAAGAAACAAGAGAGGCTGAACCCGGAGGCTGTCCACTGAGAACCACAAACTCTTGGCATAGTGGTTCCATGAAGCAGACAAACAGCTGCAAACAAGGCCCAGTATTGCCCTGACACACGGACCCGGAGCAAGTCAGTTATCCTGGCAGTTAGAACACTAAATATAACTATAGAAGTGGGAATTTTTGTAGGAAAAGATCCAAACCATGAGCCCTCAAAGAAACTGCCCATTCTGCGGTTACATAGCCATGGTTAATGTTGACTTAATTAACTTTCAAGAGGAAAAAAAAAAAAGACCAAACAACACACCCCCACCTTTCACTGAGACACTAATGTTGCAGAGTGGAACTTAGCATTACTCAGGGTGGGGAGAAACTGCCAGACAAACAGCATTAGTTCTAAAGGTTGAGTTGAATAGTCCACTTTAGCTCATGAAATTAGAAATAAAAGGGTAAATCAGAGAAACAACCTTAATTAATTTAAAACCTACTGATATTATTTTCATACTCTAAAGATTGGCAAGGCCTTTCTTCCTCCCCTTTTCACTCGGCATACACTTTGTCTCATTCCTTTACTTTGTACTCCCATTTCTTTTTGCCTCCTCTTTGCTCCTCCCACCCTTTGCTAAAGATTCCTTCCCTGACCACAGTGGGTTCAGACCACTTCTGCGGCTTCCAACCATCCAACCCACATGTCTTTCTCAAGAGCTGGTACTAGTTTTGAAGTCATTATCTTTTCCTTTTCTTCTTCCTTCCCTCCCCACCTCCTTTTCCTTCCTTCTTTTTTTTCCCCCTGGAGTACTATTGTCAAAAACTAGAGCTCTTGGGGCTACAGAGGCAGAGGCACTGCCCTGGGAATATCTGCATAGTGTACTGTTATCCTCAAGGGCCTGGAATTTAAATCCCGCTCGGCTACTTATTAGCCAGTGACAGCTTGTTTAACTTTCTGGGCCTCAGTTTTCCCATCTTTAAAATGGGTGGTTAGTTATAGTAGTACCAACTTCCTTGGCTCCCCCTGATGATGAAATACATGTAAAGCACTTAGTACATTATTATTCTCAATAAATATTAGATAGGACTTCTATCATTTTGATGAATATCAGCTTATGTGGACCCAATGATAAATACTTGTGCTATGAAACTGATCCACAAAAGAAAGCTGTTGCTTTTTCTTACATTTGGACAAGTTTCTTATGTTTTACCCCATGACAGATCCCATCTGCTTTCCAGTGAATTAAAATTACAGTCTTTTCTGCAAAGCCAATGTAAAGTTAGAGCACAAACACTGAAGACACACTGAAATTTTAAACCATGCCAGTTTGATTTCCTGCCAGCTCCTGGAATCTGTCAGGCTGTGTTGTAGATTCCTTGTATAATCTCTACTTTAAAACAGCCCCCTGGACGTAATACGTAAGGTGGGAAGTGGGCCTGTCTGGTAAGACGTCCCACAGGACTCAAAGGAGCGTCAGCCAAGATGATACAGAATGATTACAGTTCCTGAAGATAGGACCACTCTAAAGGACTCAGTCTAAAGAATTCCCTCTCTTTTTCAATGCCTGGTCCCTTTTCCTATATTTCCTGTTCCTCTCTCTTCTCACCTTCTTTCACAGCCCTCATTTCTATTCCCTCATTTGTCCTTCATGTTTACATCATCACCCTGTCTTCTCATTTCACTCTTTTTGGGTTCTCACGGTGAATGGAAGAATTGAGGATTTGAACTATTAGGTATGTTACTTGGGATGAGTTATACTTTCTGAGCCTCGATTTCCTAATCCACAAATGGGATAGTGTCTTCTCTCTAACAGGGATTATGTAACAAATAAACTAGTACATAGTGCCTGGCACATTGTACTCAAAACCAGTGGTTGCTGATGTTATTGTTTTGCCCTAAATTAACTCAGTGCTTGGTTTGGATTCTGGCTACCTTTCAAAAAGAAATAAAAGACAAAAATATACCATTTGATTCCAACTCTTCTCTTCTTCTTACAAAATTTCCCCCAAACACAAAATACTAGAACAAGTATAAAACCTTACACACTTTTATTGGGAAGTTATATTCATGGTAGCTTGCAAGAGCACTGTAATTAGTTCAATATTCTTTGCTTAGATGCCAACATTTTCCAGTTGACCCTGTCCAAAGTTGCCTTTGCTGCCTATTTTCAACTACGTCCACTTTGAATGTTTCACATCCTCACTATGGATGTCATGAATGTGCTCACAAGGGCTGATGAACAGTTTTGTGGTGTGGTTCCATTAAGAGTCTGCACCAACTTGTTTGCCAAGCTGCTTTCCTTTAGCTGCTTCTGCTCAGTGGGGTGCCAGATGTTATGACTATAGATGAGGACCTTGGCATCGGCTTGTCTGTGGCCGATATGTCTCTGTCCCCCACAGACATGTGTTGGGAGCTGTGCTATCAACACTATCGCCACTAGGTTTTCAAAGCCCATTTCAATGTTCCATGTCCCTTTATTACTCATCATATTATAAGAGCTTTGAAATTATACCATCATCCTATTCATACTCCATCTAGCTCTTAAAAGCTGAATAGCAGCAACATGGCTTTGTTGGTCATCAAATAGATTCATTTTCTCAATTTGTTGATTTTGTTTTGCCTTTTAATGTTAATTATCTTGTAGATAATGCTGAGAAGCCACTCAAGAAGCTGATGTGATATCTATCATATCAAGGCACAGCTGGCTTGAAACTTGTGGGTACATCAAAGTTACACTGGGTTGTCCCTGGTCACACTCAAAAGTCCACATTTCATTGGTACCACTTCAATGTTCTTTGTTAATCAGCACATCTTTGATCCTGTGGCTACTTGGAATAGTGTACGTTTAGCTGATTTTATAACAATACTTAATGTCTCTATCATGCTTTTATATATCTTTTCTCCTTTAATCAACATTTCAGTTCAACAAACATTTAGTAGATGCCAATTTTTAAAAAAAAAATTCAGGCTAGAAATATTTAGAAAAACACAAAAGCACAGTCTCTGTTCCTGGAAAGATAGCAAGTC